TATATATATATATATATATATATATAACTTTCCTCAAATGAAACCTATTAAAAGTAAGATAAAAGTTTAAAATATCAAGATTAGACCTAAAAGAAATATTTACGCTAAAATAGTATAAAATTTGGGTGTGGTAAAAAATTTGGTGTTCACAGCATGCCCCTCTTTGCTTGGAAACGTGAAGAGTTTTCAGACAAAGAAAATGAACAGGGTGACTGATTTTTGACCTCACTATTATTTAAAAGGGAAAAGAAGAGAAAAGAAGGGGTTGCGACCGAGCCTTGGTTTTAGGCAGCCTACATATCTCGGGTTATAAGGGAATCAAGTCGCGTGTAGTTTAAGTGGAATAAGAGTGATGGAGTATGCTTAGAGCGAGAGTCGATTGATGTTCCGTCGAGGTTCCGATCCGCGGTTCCTACTATTACATCAAAATGAAAAGAAAATTACATACGCTTGAAATCTAAGAGTTACAAAATTCCTATCTAAATGCCATCTGGAGTCTTGTCTTGATTCTTGACTTGCTTCTCCCATTGACTTTAGACCGAAGCTTGATGCTCTCGATGCAACAGACTATGAAATATATCTCTGCATGCATAACGTCAAAGTTGGTTGTGGATGGTATTGGGATCAAACGTTTCACTTTCTCTGGAAAGAACTGAAATCTTATTTTTTTGCACATCCAATCCGTGCTTTGCAGAAAACCTACAAGTCATCACAAACAAACAAAACGAACAAAAGTTTTCTGCCCTAGTTTGCACTAGAAAATTTTTGTGAGTTATTGAAAACACATTAAACTATCTTTGCTATTGCAGAATAAAGAATTACAAGAAGGAAGGCAACCAGGGGATGTAGTACCCTGTGTTGACGATGAGATGAGGCTCGTGGCACTCTAGGATGCAACTAGGGAATGTCATACCCTATGTTGGCAATAAAATGAGGCTCGTGGAGCTCTGAGATGCTACTAGAGAATGTTGTACCCTATGTTGGCAGAAATTAATGCAGCCAGGGGATGTAGTACCCTGTGTTGGTAATAAGATGAGGCTCGTGGTGCTCTGGAATGCTACTAGGGAATGCCGTACCCTACGTAGGCAAAATATAATGTGACCAGGGGATGTAGTACCCTGTGTTAGAAATAAAATGAGGCTCGTGGCACTCTGGGATGCTACTAGGGAATGGAGTACTCTATGTAGGCAATAAATAATGCAGCCAGGGGATATAGTACCCTGTATTGAAGATAGGGTATTGATTCCCTAAAATTAAACTAAAAATAACATGATTATATGTATATTGGAAGAAAAACAAGGATTTTGAGAACTTCACTTGGTGGGGTTCGTCCCTTCACGAACTGTTTCCTAAAACTGTTCAGTTCCTGTTTTGAACAAAGAAAGATTCGTTAGTTTTAAAATGGTGGTCAGTTTGTGGCCATGATTTCTTGGGTGACTTTACCTTGCATCCATTACACTTGTTAGAAAAACTAACTTCGTCGATGGTCGTACAAATTGCCGGGAGATTCTGTCTTTTCTTTCTGCAGTTCTTCTTTCTCAACATCAAAACCTAACCATTTTGCGCCTATCACCATTTGTGTTCATGGTGCAAACAACCTTGCTCCCAAAAATCTTTTAACTGAGTAACTTTTATTGACCCTTGAAACATTGTTCAGTCCTTCCAGCCTTTTGCTCGTCAAGGAAAATCACAGATGGCTTTATGCCTTTGCCTATACGGTTTATGCCCAGCAATCTTTGCTTTATATAACGGGGAAACTGCAAACAATTTTGTAGCCTTTTCTTTGCTTTGCTTTGACAAGATTATACTGAAAGGGACTCAAAAAAGTAATGCGAAAGAAAATAAGAAGGTGAACTAATAGGTATTACAACTTAATCAAGAAGTGTCCCTTTCAGAAGAAAAAAATAAGAAAGGACTTATCTGAAGGAAATATGCTGACTTCAATGAACATAAAATGCACTTTAGACTGGATGCCCGATCCGTTTGAACCGTTAAATTCTCAAAATCTGTTGTAAACTTAAGTTTGAAACTGAGTTCTTTGTCTTAACCGTGCTTGTGTCGGGATGTTCAAAGCCTTAAATCGATCAATGATGCCCTTTGTGGGTTTCCACCAACTGACCTCTCTCATTTGCCTTTCTTTCAACTCACCATTGCCTTATAGTGCCCGTGAGGGTTTTCACCAATAAGACTCTCTCATTTATTTTTCTCTCTTTACAATGGCTGAGGAATCACCCGTAGTATACTGACTTAGCATTCTCGAAAGTTGATCAGAAGGTCTTAGCAGGGAAAGGTAAAAAGAACTATTCAACTGAATTACAACTTTTGGAACCATTTTGATGGACCAAGCATCGAAAAATAAAATAAAATCATGCCCCCGTTTCTATGAATACTGGAGAAATGCAGATTTTTGTTTTGGTGTGACCGAACCCCAAAGTGAGTCTGCCTACGTATCCTTTCGGAATCAGGTCAGACGTAGTTCAATGAACATGAACTTGTTTTGATGATGATTTTTTTTTCAATTTGATTTTATTTTTTCTTTTTTTTTTAAATTAAGTACATTGGTTCCAAAATAAGGGAAAACAAAGAAATATAAACAAGGCTTCAAAGGGCTAACTAGGGTTGACCAGTGTTTGGGTAGCGAGAATGATAGCCTTTCGTCATCCCAACCTGAGAATGTTAAGTATAAAAATGCCCCAACAGAGGCATGTCAGACATAGTATCTCTTGACTGCATCTACGTTGACGGATATATCAGTTACCTTTCCTTCTATATCTGCCAAGTGTAGAGAGCTCCTTTTAACAATACTTTCTTGATAAGGTAAGGACCTTGCCAATTCGGGGCGAACTTTCCTTTTGCTTCTTTCTGGTGCGGAAAGATACGTTTCAAAACAAGTTGTCCTGCCTCGAATTGTCTTGGGCGCACTTTCTTATTGTAAGCGCGTGCCATTCTTTGTTGGTATAATTGACCAAAATAAACTGCCGCCAAATGCTTTTCATCAATCAAACTTAACTGTTCCAATCGGGACTTGACCTAGTCAGTGTCCTCAATCCCTGCTTCAACAATGCTTCGGAGAGAGGGAATCTCAACTTCAGCAGGTATGACTGCTTCAGTGCCATAAACCAATAAGTACGGCATTGCGCCAACTAATGTACGGATAGTTGTCCGGTATCCCCAAAGAGCAAAAGGCAATTTCTCGTGCCATTGTCTAGACCCTTGGACCATCTTCCTAAGAATCTTCTTGATGTTCTTATTCGCAGCTTCAACAGCTCCATTAGCTTTGGGCCAGTAAGGAGTAGAATTGCGATGCTCAATTTTAAATTGTTCACATACTTCCTTCATCAGATGACTATTCAAATTAGCAGCATTATCCGTGATAATAATTTTTGGAATACCGAAACGACAGATGATGTTGGAGTGAACAAAGTCTACTACTGCTTTCTTGGTAACTGCTTTCAATGTAATAGCTTCCACCTATTTGGTGAAGTAATCAATTGCAACCAAGATGAATCTGTGCCCATTTGAAGCTTTTGGCTCGATTGGGCCAATGACGTCCAATCCCCAAGAAACAAAAGGCCAAGAAGCTGACATAGGATATAACTCTGAAGGAGGCGAGTGAATCAAATCACTGTGAATCTGACACTGGTGGCACTTGCGAACAAAACAAAAGCAATATCGTTCCATAGTAAGCCAATAATATCCTGCCCGAATGATTTTCTTTGCTAGAACATATCCATTCATGTGCGGACCACAAACTCCCGAATGCACCTCATTCATAATCATTTCATCTTCTTTGGCATCCACACATCTCAACAAATTCAAATCCGGAGTTCTTTTGTATAGGATTTCCCCACTCAAAAAGAAACTATTAGAGAGTCGCCTAATAATTCTCTTTTGATCCCTATTAGCATGTTCCGGATATTCTCTTGTTTTCAGAAACTGTTTAATATCATGATACCATGGTTCACCATCTAGTTCTACTTCAACTGTATTGCAATAACCATGTTGATCCCGAATTTGAATTTCTAATGGATCAATGTGAGTTTTACCCGGATATGGAAGCATTGAGGTCAGGGTGGCCAATGCATCAGCTAATTCATTGTGAAACCTGGGAATGTACCTGAATTCGATGGACTTGAACCTTTTGCTTAGATCCTCCACACATTGTCTATATGGAATGAGCTTGATGTCCAGAGTCTCCCAATCACCTTGAGCCTGCCGAATAAGCAAATCTGAATCTCCCATCACCAACAGTTCATGCACATTTAGGTTTATTGCCATGTTCAAACCCATGATGCAAGCTTCATATTCTATTGTGTTGTTTGTACAAAAAAAATAAAATCGCGTCGTGGCAGGGTAATGTTGCCCAGTAGGTGATACCAGATTTGACTGTCATCTTGGACTACTTCTTCAACTAAATTAACCTCTTCATCTGGGAACTATATGTTCAAAGACTCATACTCATCATCAATCGGGTTTTCTCCCAGATGATCAACCAAAGCTTGTGCCTTCATGGCAGTGCGAGTGACATAAACATTATCAAACTCTATGAGAAAGATTTTCCACTTTGCCAATCTGCTAGTTGGCATCGGCTTCTGAAAGATGTACTTCAGGGGATCCATTCGGGATATGAGGTAAGTTGTATAGGCCAAAAGATAATGCCTAAGCTTCTGGACGACCCAGGTTAAGGCGCAACATGTCCTTTCCAAAAGAGTATATTTGGCCTCATAAGTGGTGAACTTTTTGCTCAAATAATATATTGCTTGTTCCCTTTTTCCTGTGGCATCATGTTGACCCAGAACACAACCAAAGGAACTATTCATTACTAACAGATATAAAAACAGAGGCCTACCAGATTCTGGCGGGACCAAAATAGGGGGATTTGACAAATATTCCTTGATCTTATCAAAAGCTTCTTGGCACTCATCTGTCCACTTGATAGCGGCGTTCTTTTTCAACAACTTAAAAATAGGCTCATATGTGCTTGTAAGCTGTGCGATGAACCTGCTGATGTAATTCAACCTCCCGAGTAAACTCATGACTTCTGTTTTGTTCTTCGGGGGAGACAGCTCTCGAATGGTCTTTATCTTGGAGGGATCTAACTCAATGCCTATTTGACTAACTATAAAACCCAAAAGCTTCCCAGAAGGAACTCTAAATGCACATTTGGCTGGATTGAGTTTGAGATTGTACCTTCGTAGCCTTTCAAAGAACTTTTTCAAGTCTTGCACATGGTCAGCTTGTGTTCTCGACTTAATGATCACATCATCAACGTAGACTTAAATCTCTTTATGCATCATGTCATGGAATATGGTAGTCATGGCTCTCATGTAAGTTTCCCCTGCATTCTTCAAACCGAATGGCATGATCCTATAACAATAAGTTCCCCATGGAATTGTGAAGGCGGTCTTTTCTGCATCTTCTTCATCCATCAGAATTTGGTGATATCCGGCATAACAATCCACAAAAGATTGGATCTCTTGTTTAACACAATTGTCAACAAGGATATGAATGTTGGGTAAGGGAAAGTTGTCCTTTGGACTTGCTTTGTTTAAATCCCTATAGTCAACACAAACTCTGATTTTCCCATCCTTCTTTGGCACTGGCACAACATTTGCTAACTATGTAGTGTATCGGACGACCCTGATCACATTTGCACTTAGTTGCTTCGTGATTTCTTCTTTAATCTTATCACCCATGTCTGTTTTAAACTTCCTTTGTTTTTGCTAGATTGGTGGAAAATTAGGATATGTGGGAAGCTTATGGACCAATTAATCGGCACTCAAACCCGGCATGTCATCATATGACCAAGCAAATATATCTCTGTACTCGAACAAAACTTGAATTATGGCATCTCTCATCTTTTGTTCAGTATGAATGCTTATTTTTGTTTCTCTGGTTTCTTCAGGACTTCCCAGGTTAATTGCCTCAGTTTTATTTAAGCTAGGCTTAGGCTTATTCTCAAATTGATCCAATTCCCTTTTTATTTCCTTAAAAGCCTCATCTTTGTCATACTCAACTTCTTGATTCATTATTTCGAGATTAGACAACTTTTTAAGATCTGGGCATGAGTTCCGCGTGCATGTCATGTTTTTAAAGCTAGCATTAACGAAATTGAAAATGATAAGAAATTAACAAAAATTAGGGAAATGAAAAGATAGAATTTTACTACGAAAATGGAACTTCATTTCATTGAATTTGAAAGGATATAAGGGTTAACATCAAAGCAAAGCAATTAAACTAAAATATATGGATTACAACCCTTAAAATAATCCAAATACAGAAAAAACAACAAAACAGGTTACCAAGACTCCTTCCTGATGGGAAAAGGAGTTGCTTCCTAGCTGCTGAGCGAGGTATTTAGACCAATCAACTGAAAACTTGCACGGCTAGGGCCCTCCCCAACTTGAACCATATTGATCTCATAGAACATTTCCTTGACACCCTGGTAAACTTCATCAATGTCATCCTGAGTAGAAGGATTTTGGACTTCTTCAAATTGTGGCTTGACAAAAGAGTAGGCAATGCGAGGGATTGGTTTGGACAGATTCCAACCATTCTTTTTGCGGGTCTTGGCTCTGTCTATGTCAGCTGGTGTTGGTTTAAAACCCAAGCCAAAGGTATCTTTCTTCGAAAAGGGAGCAATGGGGTTCACAATTCCTTGCAGAGAGGATCCTAATCCTTTTCCTGGTTCATAGCCATTCCTCAACATCAGCGCAGCTACCATCATGGATATGGCTGAAAGACGGGGATCCAGAATTGGTTTTCCTTCTTCCACTTGGTCCACCTCAATCACCTCAAATGCTTGATATATGATGTATTCACATCCTTCCTTGGCCTCGATACATGGAATGGATGGGTCTTTATAGACGGATGAGTCGTCCTCCCCATGAACAATAATTTCTTGCCTGTCATACTCGAATTTGACCATTTGATGTAGGGTGGATGGTACAGATCTGGCCATATGGATCCACGACCTTTCCAGAAGAAAATTATAGGAAGTTTCCATATCCAACACTTGAAAGACAATGTTAAAATCAACCGGGCCGATTGTCATGATGAGTTAGATTTCCCTAATAGTGTCTCTTCTTGAACCATCAAAAGCTCTGATGCTAACATTACTAGTCTGAATTATGTTAGTGTCAATGTTCAGCTGTTGTAGAGTAGAAAAAGGGCATAGATCTACACTTGAGCCTTCGTCAATCATGACTCATTTTACGTAGTGCCCTTCACATTTCACCATAAGATGCAAAGATCTATTGTTCCCAGCCCCTTCCTCAGGTAAATCATCATCGCTGAAAGTAATTCTATTTACTTCAAAGAATCTTTGAGACATTTTTTCTAGCTGATTCACTGTTGTCTTTTCTGAGACATATGCCTCGTTCAGAGTTTTGATCAACACACGGCGATGCTCTTCCGAGTGCAAAAGCAGAGATAACAAAGATATCTGAGCAGGGGTTTTCTTTAGTTGGTCAATGATTGAGTAGTCTTGCATTTTCATCTTCTTAAGGAATTCCTCCGCTTCTTTTTCTGCAACGGGTTCTTTCACTGGCAAGTGACTTTCCCTGGCTTGCTTAGCTTTTCTCAATTCCTCTTGTGAGTAGTACCTTCCAGGGCGGGTCAAACCCCCCATTTTATATATGTTTCTTCAACTATCTCTTTTTCTCTGTACGTCATGACAGTCTTGTTATAATTCCAGGGAATAGCTTTTGTGTTTGTCACTAGGACTTGTGCAACAAGTCGGATCACAACTGGATCTGTTATATTTCTCAAACTATTATTCGGAATGATCTTTTGAATGCCCCCAGGGATGTAAAGTTTTGGCCCACCCAATTGAACCTCAACCTTTTTTGTGCTTCCAGGGACATAGAGAATCATTTTTTCAGAACCTGCCAAGTTCAAACTAGAACTCGTACCTTTCACAATCAACGGTGCCAATTGCGGTGGGTTCACTATCACTTTTGGTTCTTGCCCTATGGTTCCAATATCCATCTCTGTCTTGCCAGACTGCTTATAATCTCGATCATCATAAATCATCCCAATAAAATGTGTATTATCATGAGCTGGGAGCGGATTGTTTGTGATATTAGGAGTATCCTCATTGTTTGTTACCACAATTGCCTTTGCTTCAATCAAATTTTCAATGGCTTTCTTTAATGTCCAATAATTTTCGGTACTATGACCTTGGGTGTTAGAGTGATACTTACATCTTGTATTGGAGTCAAAACCATTTGAATTTGGATTCACATAACGCGGCATGATAGGTTCAATCAAATATTCCTATCGAGGGCGAGGATTATATGGCGCCTGAAAATTCGACCGGAGTTGACGGGAGCCTTGTGGAATTGGTGCCCGCCATTGCTGGTGATTGGGAGGCCTAGCATAAGCCTGAGCACTAAACACTGTGTATTGTTGTGGGGGAACTGAGTACCGGGGACCCTGAGGTGGATAGTAATGTTGAGGAGAATCGCATTGTCCTTGTTGGAATTGCACATAAGAAGGAACTATTCCTCTTTGAACTCCCCCGAACCCAGATGCCATCATGGATCCTTCCTTTTTCTTTTTTCGATTTCCGAAACTGCCTGACCCGCTTTGAATTGCTTGCGTGGTCGCCTTAAGGGCTGCCTGACTCACAATTTTGCCCGACTTCATACCATTCTCAACTATTTCACCAATATTAATCGCCTCAGTGAAAGGCTTACCAATGGCGGCCAACATGTAATGGAGGTAATGAGGATCCTGAGCTTAGAGAAAATAGTCAATCATTCCTGCCTCTTTTATTGGTGGTTTGACCCTAGCAACTTGCTCTCTCCACTTGATTGCATATTCTCTGAAGCTTTCTGCTGGTTTCATCTTTATGTTGACGAGAGAGGAGCGGTCTGGAACTATATCAATATTGTACGAAACTGTTGGACAAAATCTTGAGCCATGTCGTTCCAAACATGCTAGTGAGATATGTCTTGATCTATGAACCACTCTGAAGCAATTCCTGTCAAACTTTCCCCAAAATAAGCCATGACTAATTCTTCTTTGCCACCTGCTCCCCTTAATTGGTTACAATACCTCTTCAAATGGGCAACGGGATCACCATGCCCATCATACTTGTCAAACTTGGGGGTCTTGAAGCCGGGTGGCAAATGAACATGGGGGAACATGTGTAGATCATTAAACTAAACACTCTTGTGGCCTCCCAAACTCTGTATGTTTCTCATGGTTTGTTCCAGACTCTTCATTTTTCTGGTCATTTCCTCTTGTTCCATATTCTTGTCAGGCATTTCGATCTCGATTGGGAA